CCTTTCGGCTCTAAACGACAGCCCCCGGCCCCGGTTCTAGTACAGTTCTCCAAACTGTTCACTGATGTGAGTGACCTACGCGTCACTATCCTTCAAACTACGGATGTGTGGACCCTCCTCGGCCACTCTTCCGCTTGCTCCCTTTTTCTCAGCCCAGAATCTTCGACCTCCACGTCCAGAGTCCACTCGCTGATTAATTCTTCCCCTTTGTTAATTCGCTGGTGGCTGCGTTGCCAGCGCCCTTTAAAGAATGTCTATTTGGAAATTCCAACATATATATTCAGTGAGTTAACAGTTTTCTAAGTATGATCCTACTGTATCCATTCACCTCTGCTGGATTTTGCCCACGATCTTACCACTTATCTTAGAATTTTGAAAAAGTAAAGCTGTTCGAGCTCCCTTTCGTAGCTTAAAAACTATACTGTTCATCACGGAAGTCCTTTTGATGCATTTTGATTCAAGAGAACTGAAAAAAAGGTGGTGGAAGTCAAATCTAGATAGTAGGATTGAGATAACGCTTGGTCCATCTTCGTTTACTTCTCACGTCTCTATCTGTAAACTTTTTGCCACAAAAGACTGCACATTCTTGACATGGTTTCTTCTCTGTTCCATGGCTTCTGATCGAAATTCTACGTTACAAATTTGTTCAACAACGAAAAATTAATGGTACAATGCGGCTTAAAATGTTTTGTATTTTCTCTCTCGAAGTAAACACTAAACACACTTTAATTTTCTGCTACTCACTCAAGTGTCTTGGAGTAATTGCCACAATTCTCTTACAGTTTATGTTACATCCCCTCAATGCCTTCTAACTAATCAGAGAAAACCAATCCCGATATACTAATCGGACAAACCCTGTAGAATAAGATGTATCGGGGGCTTGAAGGTCACGGATGTAAGAGGGTTTGGGGAAGGAGCAGACTTAATCTTAAAAATAGCTTCTTTTATTCTATCTTAAAAATTTATGAAATACTCGCTGGTATACCCGTTCTTCGCACGGGTGAATTGAAAAATTAAACAATACAGATTAAAGGATAAAGAAGTTTTTAATCAGTTAATTTTACGTGAAGTGCAAATTAAACAAAACAAAACAAAAGCTTTTTGCATATGTCGCTGAACAAAGAAACAAGTTCGTTTAATTTTAAGTCTGTAGATCTAATAGATGATAAAAAGGATTTTTTTTTTTATTTTAACTCCCCGTAACTCTCTTGTGGGCCGATTTTTGAAAACATCTTCCTAAGCTGATCTCTGCTCAGCAAAAGTAACACATTGCTATACATTTTGTGTAATAAATGCTTAAAATAGTGTAAATAATTTAGGTCTGGAAGTATAATACGTTACTATTACTTTTTGTTCGGCAGAATTCTTCGTAGGTACTACTTTTTCCACACTTCCAAAAAATACAGTACGGTAGTTATTATCTTTATACTTAAAAAATGCAACACCCGCCTATTGAATTAAAATTATACCGTTATAATTAACTACTGACCACAAACAAATTATGAAAATGTTTCCAAATGATGTAGTGTGAAAGACAAAGTTTATCTACTTTAAATACCAGTAGCGATAAAAGTTTTATTCTGAAATAAAATAAAAATAATGATTACACTGATCAAAGCAATAAATTAGAACCGAGCGTGCACTGTCGCCTGGCATAGACAAAAAAAGGGAAAGTTTTGCTTCACGTATAAAAGATAGATGTATGCTTTCGCAGGCTTTTTTGCAGATGGCAGAATTTTTTCCTACTTACTTGACAATTAACTTTATATTTTGGACACTTCACACAATATATTTATAAATTATAACCTATGTGTTATTCTGATGTATAAGCTATGTTATTGTAAAGTTTGATTAAAATCCATTCAGTTCTTTTAGCGTGAAAGAAGAACAAACATCCATACAAACTTTCGCGTTTATAATATTAGTAATACAATTTTATAGCTTTACTCTGGGAGCAATCTGAAATCCTAACCCTTAATTGGATATACTGGATCATTGAAATTCGCTTAGCTTCCTTTGCAGCTCCTTCTCGAATTTCGATAGCTCGGTCAGTTCCAAAGTTATTTATTTATTTCAACATTTCCTGGTGGAATGTACGACCACGAATAATCTCAGAACTTGTGACTCCCTTGTCACTGTTAACCTTTTCTAATTCTTGGATTTCACTCTTAACGATCAGTTTCCCATACTCAACGACAGGGCTTAAATAGTAGTTACATTTGCATAAGATCAAGTCATCTCTACGGAAAGCGATTTTTAAACTAAAATCACAGTTAAAGAAACGTTTTCCTTGTGAGTATTAGTAGAAGAACCCGAAAAATACCCGTTACACACAGGTGGATTAAGAAAAAAATTTCAGAATTTTAAAACCTACGTATACGGAAAATTTGTTCTTTGTTACACAGAGTAAAGGGGAAAACTAAAAATAGTTTTTAAGTTAAGCACTGCCGCAAGGGGAATTAGATTTAGGTTTCTTAAAGTAAGAAGTCAAAGTACCGTTTATTACAGAAAAAGGAAGTAATTTAGAACTTTTTAACATTTATTTCCAGTAGAGATTTACAAGAAAAAAACATCAGGTACATTTAATAGCTTATTAAGCACTAAATTTTCAAACAAATTCTTTCGAACTTATAGTGCACAATGAAGCAGAAGACGGGGGAGGGGAGCTTTCATCGAAGTGATTCCACGGTGCGGGGAAGAGATCTGGGGTTATGAAAGGTTTCAATGTACTCTTTACTCAATACTAATTTATCAATAGTGAAGACGTTTGAGAAAATTAATGATAGCGTGAGAGTTAGGAAATTAAATATTTGGCTAATTTACATCACATCAAATACTGATGGCAGCAGGAATGAACATTCTGGCAATGGTGTTTACATTAAGTCCCAAAATTATTCTAGTCACAATAAACTGAGAAACTCTGATGGTTGCTCTGTCTTTCGCAGTGAACTCATTGCTATTGATACAGGTCTTAAAGAGGCACTCTCAATTCCTGGTTCGAACAGCATCTGGATATTATCTGCCAGTCGTAGTGCCATCCAACATCTTTCTAACTGGCATAAGGTGGGTGATAACACAGGAGTGGCTATTTTGGATAAACTAAAACGTACTTCATCTTCTCGAGAGATCCATCTACAATGGGTTCCTTCGCATGCTAACATCGCGGGCAATGAGATTACTGACGCCCTGGCAAAAGATGGTGCAGCTCAACCCACTATGAACTCAGCCCCTCTCCTCTATTCAGAACTGCACTTCACCTACATCAACTACGAGCAAGGAACTGTTCCTCCTGCTCATCACTGCTATGAGGCTAAACGCCCTGGTGGTTCTCTTTCCCCTCAATGCAGCAGGCAAGAAAAAACTATTCTAACACGTTTCAGGTGTGGCCACCTCCGAACTTTGACTTTTAAGGATGGAAACAAAGTTTTTCGACTGGTGTTAGGTGTTCTGCCTGCCAGGCATCTCCAGCACACATTCTTGACTGCTTGGGGCTTTCAAAACAAGATCTTTACGAAGATCCTCTAATGGTATTGGACTTTTTGAGAGTGAATGAGATCATGGACTTGCTCTAGCTTGGCTAGGCACGGAGATGAGCAACAACAGCACATCACAGCTATTAATTACAGTATATACATTTACATTGAAATTATTCATAATACTGAGTATTTCATTAGTATTTAGAATATGTTATTTGTGAGGGAGGAAGCAACACAAAACCGTTCTCTTTGCTGTTTTCCATAGAATCTCCCTTCCACTGCATGGTCTTGGGATAGGGACGGTTTCTTTCTGATATCTCGAATTGCATTCGGAGTTTCCGGCTCGCAGGTGTCCATCCGTTGGGTTTCTCACGGTCAGAGGTTGCCGGGGTGATGTCAGATAACAAGACCCTGCAATACCTGGGAGTGTACGTGTTCGTAGAACGATGTTATCCTATCAACAAAAAGCTGGTTTTCAGATGTGTGATGCAAAAACGTCACAATAGCCATCCGTTTTGGACCTTTATGTCAGTGCTTCCCAACATTTTCATCGTCGTCGTTCAACGTTTGATAATTTTACCACGGCATGTTAGAAGACGTTATTGTTTTTATTTCAGAATGCTTTGATCTAATCATTTTAGTTTAAGGTATCCGATTACATTCGGAACCGTGATTTTAAAAGAGCGCATAAATGGATAATTTTCATGATATTTAGTGTCACTTAGATTAGAATACATGTATAAAATTGTTTTAAGGACATTTTGACAAAAAAATTATTTAAATACAATATTTCGGCAAACAATTAACTTAGAAAACCTTTTTTCCAAGTGTTCTCCTTTTGTAAAAAATGCTTCTATTGTATTAATATTTTGCCTGTATATAGCTCAGACTTCCGAACAGAGGCTCAACTATGATTTTTGAAAAATTCACATTATTTTCAGAGTTACAACCATTTGAAAAAATTAACGGCGTATTTTTCTTAAAATTTCTCCCCACTGTTGTCGTAAAACATGGATAAACCCACTTCTAAGTTATATATTTCAAAAATTCTAGTTGAGCTTTTGTACAGAGGTCTGAGCTATATGCAGGCAAAATATTATTATTATAAAAGCATTTTTCTCAAAAGGAGAATATTTTGGAAATGGGTCATTCTATGTTCCTTTTTTTGTCAAAATATTGTACTTAAATAATTTTTTATTGTAATGCTATTCTTAAAACAATTTTATATACATTTTCTAATCTAAGTGACACTAAATATCATAAATATTATCCATTTATACGCTTTTGAAAAATCACGGTTCCGAAAGTAGTTGGATACCTTAATTATATTTAAATATGCCTTCAGAATAAAATACAGCAACACCAAAAAATTAATGTAAAGAGATTTAACATGGAATATAAAATGATTTCCAAGGAAAGTAGTACAAACCCGAGAGAAATACACTGTAGAAAATAAAATATAAGTAATTAATATTCTCCATGGGCGACGCGTTGCTATTTGATCCACGAACCGGTTTCGATGCCGCCCAGCCAGTATAAAGGATATGACCCTCGGTTTGTAACCGAATTGGTTCGGGTTCAAATCCCGAGTAAGGCATGGATGTATTTCCTTTGGGAAAAGAAGTCGGACTTTTGCCTGTAATGGATTCACGTCTCGAAAGGAAAGCAGCGCACCCTTTGTTATATGCTGAGATCATCATTTGTAATAAATGTCTATATTCTTCTGTTTGTATTCTATGCTTTTTGTTCTTCCACTTGTATTTCATATGTATCCCAGGATAAAAACACACGTAGACAACAACAACTGGTTCCGGTCAGCCACCCAGGGGTTGGGAACCACCGCTTTATTTTGCAACAAAAAAAAAATAGTTTTATTTTGAATCTAAAATCATCTAACCAAAATTAAATATTTTCATTTTTTCAAAAATCCAACCCATTTGTGGCATTACCAAAAATTTTGAAATAATTTTTTTTTAATCATTTTTCTCCTAACCTCTCTCTCCATACCATAAAACAACTTTTCCACATAGCTAGTTTTCCGAGTTCTGATTATTAATAATTTTTTCTCCATATAAACGCTATCCGATCAAGTCTATAACAAAAAAAATTATTAATCAATATTTTGTTTAGTAGTATAATTATCCACGTCTTCTCATGTATTAATAATTAGTCTTGTTTGATATAATTTAAGAGGCATATTTGTTATCCGTATAACAAATGTGTGTGGAAAAAATTCTAATTATAATTAACGATATTGTTAAAAAATAATTCAAATATCAAATCATCTGTTCATATCAATAAAAAAAGGAGAACTATAACGAGAAAACTTAATATTAAATAATGATTACTTACCGATGAATTATTTTTATGAAGAAATCAGCAAAGAAAGGTGTAATTAAAAACAGCATATTTTTCTCTATTCAAAACCTGTAAAAATTTTCAACGTCAATCCTTCTGCACCAAATACTGATTTTTTTAAACCAACTAATGCGATTGCTTTTACATTCTAATGTTCCGACGAAAGACTTCCTTTCAAAAAAAAAAAATTAAACCATTTGATTAACAATCTTGACATTTTTTTTTTAACTTCCGATGAAAGACATTTGTTTAAAAAAAAAGCCTTCTAATTAACTATAATGCATTTGCTTTATTTTTTCTTTTCGAATCAGCATCAAATGCTACTGAAAGAGCAAACACAAAAAATCGAAACAACTTTCTCGCAAAAACTTATCCAATTAAATACATCGCATGGAATGTTTTTTCCCTCCTGTATCGGTTCTTTGAAATGGAATCAAAGCTAATTGGCTGATTCGTCTCTATTTCCCCGTTTTTTTTTCTTTCCAGTGTCTCCCGTCATAGATCAGCACTTTTTCCGGGAGAGTAACACAGTGGACGAGGGTGCCCGGACCAAATTGGTCTGCATAGTGACCAAAGGAGATCCTCCGCTTCGATTTCATTGGTTGAAAAATGGTCTCCCGTTTCTGGCGCATGGTGATACCACTGTTCAAACAACTGAAGATTCATCCATTGTCACTTTCAAAAAAGTTACATCAGCGGATCGTGGGCTCTATTCGTGTGTGGCTACCAATGTTGCATCATCAGCTAATATGACCATGCAACTCATTGTAAATGGTAAGAAAGAATTTTATATTAATTAATGAATTTGCTATTTGTTTTAATTTTTAGTGTATATGTTACCGGCAAAGTATGAAATGCCGGCATTCTATAGAATGCCTAGGCATTGTATAGAATGCCGGACGTTTTTAGGCAATGTATGAAATAAGAATTATTTCATACTTTGCCTAGGCATTGTATAGAATGCCTAGGCATTCTATACAAGGATTAAAGCTGTTTAGGCAAAACATGAAATGAGGTCATGATAAGGTTACTATATCAATGACGTACATTTCTAGAAAATACAAATGTTATTCTGACAAAATAATGAGAGTGGCATTAAAACAGTGCATCTCAAACTTTAAACATACGCGACCCACTATTCTCAATCATCCTTTTCATCACGCCCCCCTTCATACAATAATGTATTGATTTCAATAATACTACACTTTGACACTAAAGATACAATACGACTTTAACCTCTTATATTCCACCGACGTATATAAATGTCTCACACAGCCAAAGCATTAATTTTCTGGACGTATATATACGTCTTTCCGAAGTACGGTCTTTTCTGAGCAGTTCTATCCATAAAATTATTCCGAAGGCTTTGGAATGCAATAAAAGGACCTTGGCAGTGTTTGCGAAGGATTTACTTATTTCCGAGGATTTGCTTATTTATTTCTTTTCTCCTCCCTCTCTCTCCCTAAAAAAAACATCAAAATACGCTCGTCTATGTAGAAAACAGTGTCATTGGGTAGTGAATCGCGTAACTTTTAATCGGCAGTTAAGGAATTAAATATAAACCGTACAAAAATATCAAGATAAGTGTTAATACAAGCCCATAGGATCACTGATAAGTATCAAACTTTTTCTTAACTTAGTATTGCTAAATTAATAATAAAATATATATTGTACAGTACTGATACATTTATAAGTGTATTATATCAGTGTAGATGTGTATTTTATATTTTATTATATCAAAGTACTTTGTTTACTTTCAGTAAATTAATAATTTTTTAAATAACCTTTTGTTTTTCGACTTTTCAATAGGCTCGCGTCCCCCTCGTAGAGTTATCACACCCCCGAAGGGGGGCGCGCCCCACAGTTTAAGAAACGCTGCATTAAAAAATTATTCAAAATACGTAAAGGAAAAAGAAGGTTGTACCAAACAAAATTTGTCTTTCTTTTATTAAGGAAAACAAAATTTTCAATTAAAAAATAAGAACTTAAAATTAATCTACTTATTGCAACATGGTAGGCTTGAACGGCATTTTTAATTACATTTCATTTCATTTTACGCAAAGACCATTCTTATTCTTTCAAATTTTTTCATAATTCCTTTTGTCCATATTCTGGAGATGTTTGTCAAATAAGGTCTATTACAAATTTATGAAGTTCATTCAAAAATTGACAAATTTGTTGAGTAGTGCTGAGTGCCACTGTTAATTGTAACGTGTGCCTTAGGTTAATTCCCCCTGCTATAGACCATGACTCCTTCTCCAACACTGCAAGTTGCTTCTCCATTTTCATGCAGCACAGGAAAAACCCAATTTTTTGCTGAAAAAGTTTAAGTAAAATCGAGTATTTTGACACTCCAAGCAAACCACAATGTGCAACTGACAAATTCTGAGCCTGAGGTCCGCGTTAAAAGTCTCGTGCCTTGCCACGCAATATTCGAAAGGAATCGGAGATGTATTTCATACTTTGCCGGTTTCTCATTAGGCATTCTATATAATGCCTAGGCAAAGTGTGAAATAAGAATCCTTTCATACATTGCCGGCTAGTTTTAGGCATTCTATACAATGCCGGATTTCATACTTTGCCGGTAACATATATAATAGCTCTTAAATCATATTTATGCTGAATATTCCTAAATGTCAGCTATTTCCATTAGCTAGTACAGTATTAATCATTTGAGGTTAATTATTTTCCAAACCAAGTTTAAACTAGTTTGTTAAATTTTAATGAAATAAAGTTCTGAAGAAACAAGATAAACGATTTACTCTATTATACCTCGCCCTCATATTATAATGTATTTATTGTATGTGTATTTGAATATATTTTATAAATCTAAAAAATCTACCGACAAAAAAAAAAGGATACATTTCGGGACTAAATGTAAAATGGATGAAAGTATAGGGACAGTCAATAAAAAAAATGACCAAGTTTTGTAGGTTCCAGTAAAGTATTATTTTTATCTTAAATCATAATCTGATTATTATTGTTTCATGCGTTTTATCAGGCATGCTCCAACTGGGCCTGTTGGAACATCGTCTCGGTCTTGACTCAGCCTTAAGATAATGATTCGACTAATTTCACCAGTCAAAATTTTTTTCCGGTTGTATTATCCGAAAAGATATGTCATTTAGCTACATGTGATGACCGTCGTTCACGTACTGGCCTATGCCTACCACCATACAGCATCATTACTCATTCAGTCAAAAGACGGCAGTCGATCGAGCCGGTTTGTGTGATTGTAAGTCATACACATTTATTTGTTTCAAGTTATTGCTTGTACGAGTATTTGACAACGTATGCTATGTACTGTCTACTTTGCAAGGGTTATTTGCGGGGTCTAAATTTGTACAAGGTCTACATTTGTGTTGTGCCCAAGGTGTACTTTTGTGTAAAGGTCCAGGGTCTCAAGAAGGCTTAAGACGTCCCTGCGTGCAGTCCGTCGAACCAGTTTGTGTGATTGTAAGTCACATACACATTTATTTGTTTCAAGTTATTGCTTGTACGAGTATTTGACAACGTATGCTATGTACTGTCTACTTTGCAAGGGTTATTTGCGGGGTCTAAATTTGTACAAGGTCTACATTTGTGTTGTGCCAAGGTGTACTTTTTGTGTAAAGGTCAGGGTCTCAAGAAGGCTTAAGACGTCCTGCGTGCAGTCCGTCGAACCAGTTTGTGTGATTGTAAGTCACATACACATTTATTTGTTTCAAGTTATTGCTTGTACGAGTATTTGACAACGTATGCTATGTACTGTCTACTTTGCAAGGGTTATTTGCGGGGTCTAAATTTGTACAAGGTCTACATTTGTGCTGTGCCTAAGATGTACTTTTGCGTAAAGGACCAGAGCCTCAAGTAGTCTTACGATGTTCCTCTGCGTGTTACATACAATTTATTCTTAAATTAAACAATCAAATTGTAAGAATGACAATATAATTTATGTTTCGAGGTGTATCGTAACACTGATGAAGATTGAGCCTTTCTAATTTGAAACAAAAGATAAAAAGCACGCATATTAACCTCCCAGAAAAGCAACCTGGTGTTCTTTTGTACAAATAATGATTACGAGAAACCTTGTGAACAACTAATATTATTAAAATATAATCCTCGTCGTACGATAAACAATAAAACAAACATCTTTAAAGAGGAATACTGGTATTCTTAAAGGAAAACGCTGTGTACTAATTTTGTCATATTTTAGCCATTGCGAAGTTTATTATTTCTAACAAATACAGCAATACCTCG